TAGGGTTAGATTTAACAGAGACTATTGCATTCAACTTTACACTCAGTTGTGTTTAAAAGATATTTAGTTAAATCAATTTTAAAAACAGACTATATATCTGCAAAGCATCTATGGTAGACTAAAATTGAAAAAAATGGAAGAAATATTTTGGCTGTTTTCAACATCTTTTAACTTTCTTCAAGTGTATCATCCATTGAAAACAATGGATAATAATTTCAATGCATTTCCCAGTTTTACAAGGACAGAAAACCTTTTGACTCGAAATTGTTATGAGAAAAGTCATCAGGCAGATGCTGGCAAAAGAAAAATAACTGCAGTTCTTTTAATATAATAACATACAGCGTTGTCGCTGGAAACATCTGGTCTATGTATTAATAGATTCATCCAATTAAAGTATAATCAAAATACAAGGCCTGGAAGCTGTTATTTTTGGATTGAGACCCAGAATTCTCACTTAATCACCAGAACAGGCTTTAAAGACGCTTGAATGCATTTTGTGGACTTAAAGTGTACTTCGAATGTATTTTTGTATTAGCGATGAAAACAAAGCCCATAAGCAACCAGAGACCAAAAGCCAATCAAAAGTAACGCTAGTCAACCTCGTTAATGTTGTTAAAGTCACCTCCTTGCAAATTATGCTTTTGCTGTTGGTTTGAGTGAATAATTTACCATTAATATGTTTTTAATGACTGATTTCAATTGTTAATCAAAGTCACACGTTTTTAAAACAATACTGAGACTAATTAACTCTGATGGTCTTTTAATGAACGTGTTAATTGTAACGTGCTCTTTCCAAAGGTATCAATTAATTCATGACAGATATATGAGCAATATGTGAAAATGTAATAATGATGTGAAAAGTTTTTTTTCTAATTTTTATTTTTCGTTCGTTTCTAACTAATTGAGAAAAAGGTGTGTTATCAAATGCTCATCTTTGGTGTGAAACACTGCAAACTGACATCAAAATCTGCCATCAGACAATTCTTTTTCATTTTTTATGCTTATACTCCAGTCTATTAAAAAAAATCATAAATGAGAAAACATATATTATATTATATTATATTATGCAAATAAAATTTGCCATGATTTTATCTCTTGTTGAGGTTCCTTGTGACTTTCATCCTCATGCTGACTGTACATGGAAAAGTGGTGCATTAATCACAGTATAAGTAGTATTTTTATGTATTTTTACTGGATTTTTTTTGTTGATTTGTTAGGATCCACATTTTTTCCCCAGGCTGATGTTGAGTTTTCTGTGATTTTTTTTTTCATTTTTATATCATTCATTGATACATGTTCCTGCATCAGCATTAATTCTTTACCATAAAATGTTGAAATAAAGAAAAATCATGAATATTATATGTTATTGCTTTAGAAATTTAATAATTTCACTGTAATGAAAGTTCTAGTGTGAATATACAGGGTGAATTAAAAAATATTAATACATCTGTTCTCTCTCCTTTATTTCTATATGAAAGTAACTTTAGCCAACAGAGGCTTCATTTCATAGTATATTTTAAACGTTATCTTTGATTAAGTCAATAAAATACCTTAAAGTCCCTTTTTGCTCTTTAATTTTAATGAAAGTTTTAAAACATAAACATTCTTTGAAGACACCCAAAAACACAGGACAGATATGGTATTTAGTAAAAGTGGTCAGAGTTTGCAGAGTAAAGTCACTAGTGTCAAATAAACTCCTGCTGTGAGATTAAGAGTTTTGGAGTAAAAACTTTTATTTTGAATTCTACAGGTGTAAATTCAACACTGGTGATTTTACTTGGAATGCTCCAAAGAAATGATGAGAATTGGGATATACAATACAGAATCTGAGTTGATACAAAAGACAGCTAATATAATACAAAAAGAGATACACATCAGATTTTTGTGAACACAATAAACAGAAACACTGAGGTCATGTCCACACGTAACCAGATATTGTGGAAAACATACTTTTTTTCTCTGAGTTTTGACCTCTTGTCCACAGGAAAACAGCACTTTCAGTCACTGAGATTTTTGAAAGCTCAGTTCGACTCTGGATGGACAAAATACAGCTTTTTAAAAATCACAGTGTTAATTTACACATGATGCTGTTTTCACTTATTGAACATTTAGAAATCTTAATATGTGGCTGATGGTGAGGTTGTTTCTGTGTGCTCAGCAATTTGGGGTGATTTGGTGATGTTTCTTTGGCTTTACTTGGCTTTACATCTTTGGCTTCATTCAGTTTTTAAAAGGGGCATCAAATCAATTGCAAACATTCAAAAAATCTCAGTGATTCTAAAGACATATAATTTGATGATCATTAACCAGATTCAGATTTAAAAAAAAAAAAATTAACTCTACAGTTCAAAGTGAGTGAAAAGAAACTGCAATTGACAGCCACAGCAACATAAACACCTCATGGCGACATGTGCTAGGCTTCCTCTCACTTTAAAGCTTTTATTTTCCGGCAGGAATCTGTGTAAAATATTGAATTATAGAGGTTTGATGGCCTGCAAGTCAAAGCCATCATTTTTTTAGTAAATATCGGCTTTGGCATCACGGCGCACTCTGTATTTTGTCCAATATGCATGCTCAAAGTATTCTACTTGAGGCATTTGGCTTCAAATTTTATGGGTATTTTCAACGTCTACTGGGCTGGAATGATCATCTGAGTGTATTTGAGTCAGTTTTGCATTCTTTGTTGCATGTGTGGATGGAGGGATTTTCAAAAATGCTGTTTTAATGTAGGAAAAAAAAATATGTTTTGTTAAATATCTGGATTTGTGTAAATGAGGCCTCAGAGTATTGCACAAATGCTCAAGTGGCATTTTCCTTCATTCTGGCTCTCCTTAAATCATGATAAAAACCCTTTTTTGACCATTCTGCCTCTTTCACAAGTTCATACACTCACATAATCACATATACACATCAAACAAACAGTATTTTTCAAATACATCAACAAAAATTCACATGAAACTGTTTCCTTAACTGCTGCAAAACATGCTACATAAAGAGAAGATACTTGGTTCAGGTTAGCTGGTGTTAACTGACCTGATCTCTTAATGCACATCTTTATGAAGCCTTAATCAAAATGGGAAAAATAACAAACTCAATCACAAATATTCTTCATATCGTCGCTGTCTTGAGAAAACTTTGTAAATTTTTAATGTCATAATTTAGAAATGCCAGCTGCCATTTATATTTACATTTCAGCAGGAATGGACAAATTCAAACTTTGTAAGACACATGAAAATTTTTTAAGTTACATTAACAAATTTGTGAAGTTACCATTCCTGACAATTTTTTAAAACAGCGACATGGGGAGGCCAGTTTCTAATTGAATATTGAGCTAGTGTGTATGGTTTATTACTTTTTAGAGAGCAAAAAGTCTTAAAAAGGTGCCAAAGAAAGGCCCAATAAAAAAAGAACAAATCTTACATTTATACATACAGTTTAAAACAGGTTCACCGATGCGGTACAACCGCTTACAAACCTCTACGTCATTTACATTGCGAAGTCCGGCTTACAAACACAACATTGTTTTTATTAATATGAACGTAATCAGGAGGGTTATGACAATACTAATGAAGAAACATAACATCATAACAATAACCAGGATAGTTTAACAGTAACCAAGAAGACTGTTTCAAATCTTCTAATAAAAAAAAAAAAAATCAAATCTTATTCATTGGTCTTAGATTTTTGGTTCCAGAAACCTTCAAGGAATAGTTCAGCGTTTTTTTCAGTCAAGACGACCATTAAGTACAAGTTATTCATTTTTCAGGAGATGTTTCTAAAGAAATTAGGTGTAAGATAATCAACAAGCTACAGAGAAAATGGGGCTCCTAACAACCACCCGGAAGACCTTCTAGACACTAAAACTGTCCCCATCAGATAAACAGCACTTAAAGCTTTCATCTCTGAGAGAGAGGAGAAAATCAAGCTGCTTCAGATCTGAAAACATCCACAGGTGTTTCTGTCCATCCTTCCACTGTGAGAAGACGACTCAGCGCTGTGGGTCTGAAAGGATGTGTAGCTGATCAAGAAGAACCTCACTGAGAAAAGGAGACACATCAAACAAAGAAGCTGAACAATGGACTGACCACCCCAGAGTCCAGACCTCAACATCACTGAATGTGTTGTGTCTGCAGATTTCTTTGAGAAATATTTACTTGGTGAGGCTTCTGTGTAATTACCTGTACATGTTTTTGCTTTTTTTTTCTGAAGAAAAAATATGAATAACTTGTATTTAATAGCCATTTTGACTGGAAATTAAATGAACGGTGGACTCTTACTTTTGTACAGTACTGTTTCAGCTGCATGTGTAGTGTTTGGCAAGTTACCATGAATAATAAGTCTGACATGTTTCCCGGTAGCTGGAAAAGCACAGCTTAAAATAGAATTATAATGTAAACCAATGAACAGTTTATGGATTATGTTAGTAAGCAAATGTCCATGGTAACTGACCGTGCAATACGGATGAGCCTGAGGGAGATTAGGTTGAAAAACGCTGGAATATTCTTGCAATCAAGGTTTTACAGATGCATATCTTGTTCTTTGGTACTAAGCAAAGTCAAACTTTACAGTGATTTACAGTAGCATATCTATTGCAACACAGTGGCACAACTCCTGTAGCAAAACATTTCACAGAGAACAGTAAGAAAAGGAAAAACTAATCGAAGCTACTTTTTTTTTTTTTTATTTCACTAGATCAACCCACTGTCGAGCAGACATGTAACAATCTACATAAATTAAGAGGTAGCCTTTTCCCAAAGTTTTTCTTAAGTGTGAGAGGCAGCCTTCGTGGTCAATTTTACAAAAACAATGCACCAGAACCAGACAACTTTAGGTGTGTTAGGATATTTTTGGTTGATTTGTAACCCTTTCTGATCTGCTACTTGAATGTAGGTGTGGAACGGAGTAAGCTGCCCCCTGCATGTGCGACCTTAGACATGTTGGCTTTTTTTTCTAGTGCCGTAATTAGCGGTGACAGAGGGGCAAAACGGTCCGTCTTTTAAGGCTCCCCTGAGTCGACCTCAAAGTTCTTTTTTTTTTCTTTTCGTGGAATCTTATTGTGCCTCCATCCAAGAGGCGCAATCTGTTGAAAAGAATGCGACGAATTTCCTGTTAGTTCTTGGGGGATATGCTTTGTTTTTCCTGTCTCGGGGAGCCAAGGTTTTTTTCCTTTTTCTCTTTTTTTCCTGCTGACTTCCTGTCGCTGGGTGGCTGGAGAGGTGGGAGTTAAAGGTCCTAGTTCAGGTTTAGCCCTGCTGCCCCCCACCCCAGAACCCCCACCCCTGGGTTGCTACAGTGTTTGGTAGAGAGAGAGGAGGAGGATGTTTGTGTCCCTCTCTGGATGGATTGACGAATGGATGGATGGATGGGGCAGTAGATCAGATGAGTTGGTGGGCTCAGTTCAGGCCATGCTGCTGGTGGGTGTACTCTGGGTGCTGCCCATGCTGCCATTGGCGCTGCTGTTCTCAGAGGGAGAGGGGTTAGTTGGCACCGGCCGACGCTTGGTCAGAAAACACGGACATCCTGAGACAGAGAGAGAAAGAAAGGGAGGGAAGGAGAGAGAAGATGAAACAAATGAATTCTATTTGCTTCAGTTTTATTTGTACAGCACGTTTCATGCATCACTAAAGGCCTCTAAACTGACCATCTCAAATTTGCTTGATATTTTTAGGAAATAATGCCACTGTGCCTAATAGGCAGCATGCACAATTTTAGGCTTGTATCATCATTCGTTTCTGAGATATCAAGGCTTTAAAAAGTGTAAATTTTTACCTTAAACAGTGCAAAAGTCACAATTTTTAAAAGGTCATAACTTTTGTGATGTTGGTGATAGATCCCGGATTTTTTTAAGAAATGTTCTTTGGTTTATCTTGTTTTTAACAAAATACAGAGACATGAAAATTTGGCTTTGGTGTGCAAGAGAAATCTAAATGTCATAAAATGGTCATTGAGCCAAAAAAGTTATTACGTAATGTTAATTAATTGTATAATTTCCCATAATTTCACCAACTCAAACAAAATCAAACTTGCAGAGGTTTTGCAGGTCAACACACAACAAAGAATAATCCCTGACAATTTCATGCATTTAACATCAGTATTTAAAAAGTTATGACTCCTCAAAGTTGTCATCTTTTTCTGTAGGCAAAAATTAAGGCAACAGACACTTAAAGCATTTATATCTTAGAAACTAAAGAAGATACAAGCCTAACATTTTGCTTACGATGTAATAGGTACAATGACATTATTTCATGAAAATATTAAGCAAATTGGACAAAGTGAGTCAGGAACATTTTGTTAAATTCAGTCATTTAAGGTAAATTTATTTTGCTTGATTTATTTTATAGGTGAACACAGAGCACTGTAAAAAAATGTCAGTGTTTTAACTGATGTAAAATTGTCTTTATTTATCTACAGTACTATTTTGCTTTGCCTTGTTTATTTTGAAGTATTTATTTGAGTTGAATAAAACAAGACCAACTGTTGCCATAGTATTGTTCCCATTTTTTACAGCATAGGTAATGAGCTCAGTATAGTGTAATGCTAGGAGTTTAGGCATCGGCAGTTATAAAACCAAATACAAACTTGGTGATTGACATCTGTGTTTTTTTACTATAAAAATACAAAAAGACCTGAAAATGAATAGCTCTGCAGGCCATGCAAGCCTGAGAGGAGGCAGCAGAGTGGCAGAGCACAAAACAAGAAAACATATGCTATACAGTTTCCTCACAAAGCAGATGCTATCGTTCTCTCTGAGTATGGAAAAAACCTGTATATGTGGTGTTAACTGCTACGGTCATGGTCCATCCTGCCCTGAGTCATTCTGTACCTGAGAGAAGGGTCCCTGTAGAGCCTATACCCACAGCAGCAGGATATCCTGAAACACGCAAACGCACAAGTTATAATTACACAAATATAATGCTTACAATTACACTCTCACTTACTTGTCTTTTTAGTTTTAAAAATAGTCTTTTATAGAGAATAACCAGCAGGGTTCAGCACTGCCTGATAATTAAATAAAGACCATCATTATATAATTTTGTCATAAAATTCCAATTACAATTTATATACAATTCTGCACTGAAAATGTAATGTAATGAATTGAACTTAGATATAAACATCATCTCAACAGAATAAAATACTTTATATTACATCAACATCATTTTTCCAGTTTTCCAAGTCTGGAATCACTGGTCACAATAACAACTGCTGTTATTTTGTTCAACGCTAACTTTAACAAATGCCAGCTGGATGACAGAAGGTATTTTTACATGTTTTATTCAATATTTCAAGATGATTTTTTTTTCTTTGGGGGGGGGGTCAAAAAGTTATTAAATGCTAAATACTATAATTGAATTATCTATTTACTGCCTGAGATTTAATAACCATGTTTCAGAGGCTTTCTACATGTTAATTTTATTGTAACTATGAATTTGTCTACAGCTCTGTTCATCGTTCTAGACACGTTTTTCTTTTTTCACAACTTCATATCCTATGAATTATTTGAAATCTGTGTTAAAGAGTAGAATCATTACATAAATAGTCTTATTCAAATCTTTCAACACCCCCAGTTAAATGACATATTGTGTTGATTTTCTATGTGACACATCCTCTACAGAGGACTCATTAAAATATGGAATTTATTTGTAAATTTAAATGTACAATTTCTGCATATAATTTAACATATCGGGGAAAAAAATGTATATATAAAATGTGCCATTTCTTCTTCCCCAATGTATTAAACACGTAAATAAGGCAATTTAACAGTCTGTAATTTGACCAGGCCCAAACATTGGCACACACCTTTATCTGCAGCATTTTGTTCTGATTTTCACAAAAACAGTGAAAACCTTTGAATGCTAGTGCACGTTTGGGAATAATGCAATATATGTTGATGTAATATATGCTATTCATGTGGACATGATGTACATGTTTGATGTTTGCTGCTCTTAGATCTTTTAATGGGAGCAAAAAATGGATTTTTCAGTTTAAAGGGATAAAAGGAGAAAAACAATGACAGAAGCAGTTTCTGTCTACACAGTCTATCTTTGAACAAATAAAAAATAGAACAGGCCATCATTCATTTAAAAATGTTTACTTTTACTTAACTGTTTCATCTTATTTCTAGTGGAAAATCATCTCGAGGCTTGTTTAGGTCGCCCTCGCCGCACTTTAGGCCTCTTCCCTCATAAGCTAAAGGAGCAGAGATGACGCCTGCTCAAACACTCTACCAAACACGGCTTTTTATCACATATCCGTTACTATTAAACATGCTGCACTGGCGTCAGCTACTGATCAAACGTGGGACGTTACCTGTTCGGATTTTGATGAACCACAGGGCGCCGATGAGCAGGACTCCGATGAGAAACCCTCCAAAAGCGACGCCCAGGACGGACGGGAGGCCAAACTCCAAGCATGAATCTGGAACACAAACATCAATGGGGTGAATTATTTATTTCAGATTTATTATTGATATGTCAGCATGTTTTTAATATCTGTATTTTATCTGTGTTTCTACACATGGCCCCTCCGCCAATCATTTTAATGGCCATTTCAGTGCATTTCATCTCTTTTTAACTACATCCATGTACCATTTCATCCCATTTTAACAAATTCCAGCAAAAAAATATTATATATATATATATATATATATATATAAAATATTAAATATAATAAAATATACATATAATAAAAGCATCATATTTTTTCTTTGTGTTTTAGCCAAGTCTATGATATGCTACACATTAAAAATGACAAACATTAAAAGTTTAATGCTCATTATTCAATATTCAGTGCAATGCATACATTCAAATGCAGTCAAGTTTGCCAACTATACATAAATGAATAGTCCAATATATTTGATTCATGGTAACATAAATACATTAAACAAATAACCATAGTAACCAACTAGTCTACTCTCAATTTCTCAATTTTTAAAAACATCCCTCCTAGTTATTCATTCTGCCATTGGACCATGTATAACAACAACACCACAGGGTGAATAAGTAGACTTCTACTTATTATTTTTAACAGTTTTAAAGTTCAAAATAGGGGATACAGTAAAAAAAAAGTCTGTTAGTTGCATTACTTTCACAGTTATTTACTGAACCATATTAACAGTAAATAACAGTTGTAGACTGTGATTCCAGTCACCTGCACCACAAGACTACTATGATTTAGCTGTTATTCTGCTATATACTTATAGTAATAAACTGTAATTAAAATACAGAACATCTCCTGTATTTTTACATAACAACTGTAAAGGTAATGCAACTCAGCAGCCAGTAATTTACTATACATTTAAAAAAAGATTTTACCAGAATTTTTTTTATCAGATCTCAAATATGCATTTTTAAAATTTTGCACTGCACATTTTGCAATTCATTTAACTTTGCTTATACAAACATATGCCCCTGGTAAATAGCATGATTTTCTGAGTGAAAGTAAGTTAACACAACCTCTACAGAGAACACACTTCTGCACATTTTAATGCTGAGTTATTGTTTATTTGCTGAATTTAACATATTGGGGGAAAAAAAAACACAAAATGCAGCCTGTGCAAAAGTTTTGGCACATTTTATATTTCATGTTTTTTTTTCTTTTTCCAAATATGTTAATAATAAAAATGTCATATTTAAGTTTGTCATCTGTGTTAACTTCTTTTTACTTTTTAGACCATCAACAAAACTTGTTATTTGACCAGGAGTGTTCAAACTTTTGCATTTAACCTTGGCTGGTTAATACATAGAGATTAAGGGTAAAAGTAAACTTTAGTGACCCAGTATTGACATTTATGTTGATATGAATATTAGCATTGCAACGTTAGCAAACTTGATATAGGACTGAAAAGAAAATCAACGATACTGCCCATCCCTACAGGGTCACCTCTGTGCCGAGAGGACAGTCATACAGGACACTTGGGACAACAGTCCTCTCTACTTGTTCTCCTGACTGATCGCTTTCCTTTTTGCACTCGGCAGAAGACACACCGAGCAGGAAGGTGATGGCTGATAGTGTTTTTTTTTCTCATTGCTGCAGTTGCATCTGCCTCACTATGATAGAGTGACTACGTGCACATCGACTCAAACCTTCTCCAGAACAATGAAGATCCAAATGTTTACCAAAAACACGTCTCGTACACTGGAGAATGGCTCCCAGGGGCTTAGAGAAGAGTTTGCTTTCCGTGCCTTGTATCAGGTCTGTTTTATTTTACAACCTCCCCCCCACCCCCACCCCCCCCCAACCCCAACAGTCCTTTCTTTCCTTTTGTTCCCCCTCAACACGGCGAAAGTGCCTTCATAAGACATCGCGGTTATTTGCGCTTCGAAAACTCAAAGCTGAGCAAACAGAGGCAGGAAGCGCTGGAGCAGGTGTTCGGGGGGAGATGAACTCCAAGTCCCAGCAGCCCCTCCAAACAGGATGGACAGCCCTGGGGAAGGCGCTTCCTGCCTGACACACACACACACACACACACCATCGCCACCCCTCCACAAAAGCACATCATTCAACACTTTACCTTTTCACAATAGATGTAGTCAAACATAGTAAACCAGCCAAAATATGTTCGCTTCATTGGAACTATGAGGCTAATGTAGCCAACAGGCTTTCAAAGCCCATTAGTTATCATTATTCAAACTGTATGGCTGTAAATAAACTGTATGGCACAGTGTTATCTATAAAAATGATGACAAATATGGAGAAATTTCAGGCTTTGCAATGCTTCTATTAGATTAGCATGTTTTAGCCATGCTAACTACTTGTTTATAAATAACAGTATGTCATATAGTGTCAGAAAACAGACAAGTAAGTCTGTTTGACATTACTGGACAACTCCACACAGTTTGAGGCGAGTGTGTAATGGTTTATGCATGCAGTTAGCACAATGCTAACTGGCTAATTATTAGCTTCTTTTACTTCTTAGCTACACTAGCCTTGTGGAAAAACATTGCAAAGCCAAAGAAGTAAACTTAACATGCCAAACACGTCTTGGCCGAATACATTTGGGTTGTTTTGGCTTATTTCATTCAATTTTAGCTGAACTATGGCTTCGAGACTAAGACTAAAACTATGCTTAAAAGAGCTGCTGTCAGAAGAAAACCTCATATCTCCATTTTTTGACATTTTTCAGTTTTTACAATTTGAAAATGCCTGTTGCCCTTTACATTGTTTGTAAATTTCATGGCCCAAAAGAACCGGCCCAAATGACTCGGAAAAACATCTGGTTTCATTGACTTACATTAAAAGTAAAGTATGTTTTTTCATTTTCCTCTAAAGTTCTCATCTTGGAGATACAAGGTTTTCTTCCAACAACAGGGATATGCTTAAAGGTGCAGCGTGTGGCATCAAGCGGTGAGAACTGTAGATTGCAAACAACTAAACACCCCTTCCTTTCCAAGCGTGTGGTGGAACCTACGGTGGCTGTCATGTTTTCTGCCATCACCTTTCCTGATTCCGTTTTGCTTCTTCATGTTTTCACTTGTTTCATGAGGATTCACTTTTTCTTGTGCTAAATACCCTCCATCTGTCAAAATTTGGTTTCTCAACGTTCTCACAATACAAAACGGTTAACCAGCACGACCAGCAACCACTGATCCTTCCTCTTTCTACGTCTTCCAACCGGAGCTACAGCACCACCACCGTAGAAACACAACATGTTGGAAGAGGACCTCCTCCCCATGTAGATATGAAGTTCTCCCTCTGAACTAATGAAAACACAATAAGTCATAGTTACAGGTGATTATCCTCTAATGAAAACACTGATTTGTATCCACTATATTCCATTTTTGCTAATAGAGCCCCCTAAATCTTACACACTGCACCTTTAAAGATAAATGAGCAGACTTTTTTTCATTCTTTGGTGCTTCATATGTCCTGTGATATCCTAATAAGTAATAGTGCAGAAACCATATAAAGTATTCTACAGCAAAATAAATGAGCACTAGCAATATTTCACTGTTTTTGGAAGAAAACCTTGTATCTCCATTTTTTAACTTTTTCAGTTTTTGACATAATTTGAAAATACGGCCCAAAATGACTTGAAAAAAAGTCCATTGACTTACATTAAAAGTAAAGTAGGTTTTTTCCTTTTCCTGTAAAGTTACCATTTTAGAGATACAAGGTTTTGTTCCAACAACAGTGAATATTTAATAGCGAAAACTGACGTTAACTTGAGTCTATAAACTACTGATAAGGACAACCGTGTAAACTTTACTTTTCACCAACTTATCATGCTCATTTTTCTGACTGAAGAGTTCAGGCTCTCATTATAAAAGGATTGAACAAGAGAGCAGCGGCCAAAGAGCTTCCAGTTATGTACATTAGGTAAATCGCAGAAATGCTCAATGTAAATAATGCATTTTATCAGACTCCTTCCAGTGATTGGATCACCCTTCAGATCCTGAGAGCTTTTACTGAACTGGGTAAATCTACTGTTAACTACAGCACCAGTGAGCTGGAACTTATTACAGGAAACTCTGAAGCTTCGCTCTCTGGTGTCACATGAAAATTTTAAACTTTTAGTCTCTAAGCACCTGCAACCATTTTACTCTGGATTAAGTTAACTTTTAAAGAGATTATTGGTATGTTTTAGTTATTGTTTCATTTTTATAATTCTGTTTTTATTCATTTTAATATTTCCAAGCTACTGTTTTAGTCTTTTAGTACTTTCTTTAGTTCGGTAATATATTTTTATTCATCCCTATTTTATCTTATTCACTATATTGTTGCCATTTTAATGGTTTATTGATTTATTTTTTTATTTACTACTATGATTATTATTACTTTTAGCATTTGTTATGTTTCTGTAACCCTGACTTCTGTATTGGTTCAGCTACATTGTAAATGAGGGTCCTCCCCAATGTACTCTGAGTTTAAATGAAGATTGATTGATTGATTGATTGATTGATTGACTGACTGATTGACTGATTGATTGATTTATTGACGTCCTGAATTGTCAGAAAGTGAAAAACAAAAGGCGCGGAGAGTCTCGTCCATTCGCGATTCAAACGTAGCGCCGAAGCGATGAAGCCACATCCTCCTGCGAGGCTAAAATTGAGAATGTAGCAGGAAAAAATAAGCCTCGGGCCAAGACGAGAGTTTTTGTGAGCGTAGCAAAAACACGACCCCGTGTCAGGCTTCTCTTCCTTTGCATTTCTTTTTTTTTTTATAGCGCAAAGTGAAATATAATGGGCTTCCCTCCTGGCCGAGGAATGCGTGGCTCATTCCTGACTCATCTGCCCGGGGACTCTCTTCCCCCTTTGAAGACCAACACCTTCCCCTCTTTGTGCGTGGCGGACAATAGCGGCCATTGCCCCGTGTTTGGACGGCCACGCGCGCCGGACCTTGGACACAATAAATCCCCCACTGGCTCATTATTTCTGATTGCGGCCACAAGGTCAGTTAACAGGCCTTCCTATGAACCTTCCCCCCTCTGCCCCCCCCCCACATCCTGACCTCATCTCCATGACCACTGTTTACGTCAGTAGCTACAGCAAGCACGAGCCTCGGCCGGACCTGCATGGAATACTTCAGTCTGGAGAGTTGAGCCGTTCGAGGTCCAGGACAATGAGGTGTCATCCTGTTGTTTGGGGTCGCAACGAGTGCAGTTGTTCTTTTTCGTGATCTCATTTTATTGTCATGGTGTCGTACAGCTTATCTGCAAAAGCCTCCCTAAACGTTTGGTGTCTGAAGTTTCCTTCATTAGTTTTGCACAGGAGCTACAAGGCTAATGTAGCTAAGTAATGGAAGCTAATACTCCACCAATTAGCATGGGGGATAGCATGCTAACCACATTTCTTCATCAGTTACTCATCTCAAACTGTGTCAAGTTGTTAAGGAATCTCAAATAGACTTGCTTATGTGGTTTCTGGCACTAGTGGCGGGAGGTATGGTTGAAATTTAATATCATTATTCATATTTCTGGTGCCCGTATATATCATAATACATAGATTCCCACAAATAAAACCATTTTAGGTGCTTAAATAAACCAATTTTTGAAGGTGAGCAGTGGCTTATTATTCTGAGATGTCCCTTGAATTTTAAATTAGAATCACTTTTAATAACCAAAGTATTTAGATTAGAAGATTAGGTTTTTTCCTTCTCCTGTAAAGTGACCATTTTGGAGATACAAGGTTTTCTTCCGACAACAGCAATCTATATAAATATAATATAAATATGATAATAAAACAAGTAATACATAATTTGACTGAGGGCATTCAAACTTTTGCATACGACTATATACACATTACTTTCTGTAGCACTTCGCTGCATAAATGCACTACACAATAATGGTATCTTAGCAAGTGAGAGTGTCTTAAATGTACTTTATATAACTAACTTTTCTTAGAATATGGAGAGTTGTATGACTATTCAAGCCGTTTGTAGAGATTATGACTTATTTTACATGATTCTGTCCAGTTCAGTGATCTCCCAGGAATCCTTAAGGCAAGTAAGGACATCTGCCAGTGCAGTACAATCATTTTACTGGATAAGATCACTTTATATAAGTAAGAATATATAGAAATAGGTGGCATAATCTCATAATTTAGAACTGTTATATGGAAGATTCTGCCAAGTTGGCTCAAAGTCCTAAGAGTTCTAAACACACTTGCTGAACTGAATTTGACTAAAATCCTTTTCCTTCCATTGCCCCCCAAACCTTACTTATGTTTATTTTATTAAAATAAATGATTAGATGATTAGAGTGTTTAAACACCAGTGTCACTGCTGGACTGAGAATAGTCCACCAACCAAAACATCCTGTGGCAGCGTCCTGTGACCACTGATGAAAGACTAGAGGATGACCGACACAGACTGTGCAGCAGCAGATGAGCTACTGTCTCTGACTTTACATCTACAAGGTGGACCAACAAGGTAAGAGTGTCTAATAGAGTGGACAGTGAGTGGACACAGTGTTTACAAACTCCAGCAGCACTGCTGTGTCTGATCCACTCGCACCAACACAACACTCACTAACTACTGCTGAAAATGATCCACCACCCAAATAATACCTGCCCTGTAGGGGGTCCTGACCTTTGAAGAACTGGGTGAAAAGAGGCTAACAAAATATGCAGACCAAGCAAAAGTACTCTATGGAAGATTAAGAACTGTAGAAATGTACTCACTCTTTGGTGGAAGGTACGTCTGGGTGACTTGCACGTTCGTCCTTACCAGCATAGGCGGTGTGCAATGCTGAAAAACAAACAGATGAATAAATGAATGGTGGTGAATAATTAGCTAAAAACATACATTAGTTTCTATGAGGATGTGTGTCCTGAATGGGAATAAATGAATGTCTCTTAATTCAGTTTTATCAGGCCAAACAGCCGACGTGATTAGTCTTAATTTTTCATTATTCCACTCTGCAGAGACAAATGTTTGCCCCTGACTGGTCAGTGGGCGGCCATAATTCTTGTATAATGGCCACTGATTAATGGCTGCTGGTTTGTTAATGACGTGCGCATTAGTAAATTTGCTCTTGGAGGCCCCGAGCACGCTCGGGCCATTTGGAAATTCAGAGTGCTGCGGAAAAAGTTGTTTAGAAAGAAATTTTTGCTCTACAAAAAGTCAGAGTGCTCTTTCTAGATAATGTGATGATGTGGCTGAAAGCAGGTGCAGATAAAGCGCTGCAAAAACAGTCAGGACTCCATTTCGTACAGAGGTCATCTCAACACTGGGAAAATGAGAAGTCTGCTCAACTTCAAATGATACAGTAACTGATTACATGGCTTTTCTCGAGTTGACCCGACTTCAGGACACTAGAGTTCACCCAACTCAAACTTCTTAGTTGAGTCAAAAACTCTCCCAGCTACTGTTTCTAGGTCTGTATCTCGGTTAGATAAACTGAATCTGTATTTTTTCACTCAATCTCCCCACTAGCTGGTACACCTTCTATCACACTGTCCCATCTGGTATTTTTTCCTCTTGGGCTTCTGGATGTAGACAGCTTTGGTATTGCTGGGATTCAAACTCACAACCTCCTGATGTTGGAATGAATTATTAGACAGCTGCACCACATGAGACTGCACCATACTTTAAAATTAAAATAACAAAGACACAAATCTGAGTTGCTTCATGTGTTCCTGAGTGGTGCAGTTGACTAAGCCATCACCCCAACAGGAGGTTGTGAGTTTGAGTCCCAGCGATGCCATAGCCATCCATAAGTGTGTACCCAAGAGGAAAAATGTCTAGCAGGATTGTGTGAAAGAGTCCTGGCTAGTGGGAAAGCTGAGTATAAAAAACAAGTTCATTTTATTTACCAAACTGGGATGTAGAACCAAACAATTAATAGAACTTTTGAGTGAGAAGTTTGAGTTGTGTGAACTCAAGAAAAGCCATGAACTCAGTTACTATATTATGTTGAGTTGAGCTTATTTTTAACAGTGAACTTCGGCCTTGTTTGTTGTGTTTGCATGTCTGTTTTTCTTTTCTCTAATGTTGTTTGCCCCAGTAACTCATGAAAAATGTTTCTTATGATTGATTTTTTGGTACCACATACCAATAAGCAAGGCAAATAGTTTAAATTTGAATTATTAATGTAATTAGTTTATTAGGATCATGACTTCAAATAACTAATAAGCATGCATACACCCTTTATAAGGGCAGTCCCTTTGTTCTAATGTTTTAAAAAAGTTGAGTGCGTTAAATGGTTAATAATTAGTTACATTCATAGATTTTTGTCTTTTGTCTTTAACAAAGCAAAAATCATAACATAATGCACACTTATTTTTTTCTTCTATTGGTCTTTTTTGTTATCTTGATGAAAGTCAATAATCAATGATAAACATTTCCATAGCAATATGAAATGCACTCTGAATGTGTACACATGCTCGCTCATTACATCCAGCATTAAAGGCATCATTTATTTTACTGACCAAATTGGACACTCACTGACTACTCTGGGGCAGATTTTAATCAGTTAAAGTGCCTAAACCTAAAATGTAATGCTCTTTATTATGTTATGTTGCATAAGCATTGGACCCTGCAGCCTCTCACTTTGACAGAATTGATGATTTTATATGCTTTTTGAATTTTTCACCCATCAGTGTCCTTTGACTACAATACCCAGCATGCACTGCATAAATATTTCATTGCCCACAGCCATAAAGAAATGCCCTGTTGTGTTTAGAGGCTAATCCTTCTACATTAGCCAGCTAGCAGAAGAAAAAAATTCTAACAACCTGCCCTCATGTATCTGTCCCAAAGGGTTTCAGTTACATGATTTTTCTGTTGTGGCCGCCATATTTGGGACCAAATTTCTGGCATTCCTGCTCAGTACAAACGTAACTAGAGGTGAAAGATGACTAAAATTACTCTCCTTACTTTAGAAGAGTAAAAACGTGACCTCGACAAAGTCAATAAAATAGGCTGCGATCCGTATACAGTTTCCCTCCCAAACTCCTGGTCCCACTTAAACTGGCGTAAAACTTCCTGACATTTATATTTATCTCATACTCGGCCCCTCTCCTATTCTGGAGAGTCTTTCAAAGCATTTAAAAGCACAGAAGCCCACCGGCTCTTCACGTCAGGGTGGGTAAAGGATCCCATGGTGTTGCATAAAGAGGAGAAAAGCTCTGTCATCATAGGAGGGTGCAGCTCCAGTCCTGCAACCCCTGCACTGCATGATCATGGTGTCCTGGTTAAAATACCTGATATTATTAGCTAATTAATCCCTACTTGAGCTGAACGAGGTGTGAACAGCAGAGAGAAATGCTAAACTATTGAAGGCATTACGCCACACAGTCACTCCCTGATTCGTTCCTCAAAACGGCGGTAACTATACAGTGTGATGTCACGCGAAACGCAAGAATAGTTTTTCAAAAGTTCGGAATGCATCATCAAAAAGATGCATCCACTTCAAGATGCATGATCAGCAGTTCTTTAACTGGAAAATCTCACTCTCAGGACTATTGTGGCACCACTGTAGGAGGTATCTAGTGTGCAGACGACTAGATGTTGTCTAGTGTGTCTTAGGCTTGTTCCACTAAACGCTGTACTTGGTGACACTGACACTTAAGTTCCTCTTGCTTTTCTTGACCTTTAGACTCATGCTTAGGCCAGGAGCTCGTTCTGGATCTACCAAAACAGCCTACAGTTGTTCATTTTACATGGTGTCAAAAGCAACTTACAATGGAGTTTGTAAGGCAGTGCCTGATCCTGCACTCTAGATCCCAACTGTTGGAGGGCAGATGCTGGAACACGTCGAAGGAGAAGCTGAACCTGGCGCTGTTGCTGCAGCCATTAGGGCTGCAGGGCTCGTGCTTAAAGGGAATTCTCCACTCCACCGCCTGCAGGCCTTTAGAGCGCACCAAACACTCCTGCACTTCGATCATCATGTTCAGAGTTCCGTGGACATGACTGGAGATCTGTCACAGTTAAAAGAGCAGAGAAAGTGATTAATATAATTCATCATCATCAATTCATCATCATCATCATCATCATCATTAACCGCTTAGTCCAGATAGGGCTGTGGTAACAGCTGGGAGAGCAAAGAATCCCAGATGACCCTGCCCCCCCACAACTTCCTCCAGCTCATTGGACCCCAAGCCACTCCCAGGCCAACTTGGAGATAAATTGCCTTCAGGATGACCCCGGGGTCTCATCCCGGTAGGCCGTGTCTGGAAAACCCATGGTTTTGTTTTTGCTCATACTTCTTTTTTTGCTTTTTATTTTTATACATAAAAATCTGTTAAAAGGTCAGAAAGGCAGACTCACAGTTGAATGTATACATAATACATTATAGCTAACAATGCAATGAAATCTGTAACTAAATCTATCTGAAAATACACTAGGGTAATTACATGAGGCAAAACTGAAGTTGATACATGTGTGTAATTACATAAGGTGTCCTCCTGTAATCCATCTGTAATAGTGACTAAATCATTAGTGGTTACATTGTTGTTGCATATGTTGTTCACATGTAACTACACAGTTATTAGATACACGTAATGTAAAGTGGGACCGAATAGAATAATAAACAGTAAAAACTCTTGACTTTTAAGGAATAAAATCTTGAAAATAAAAAACAAATTGGTAAAAAGTATACTTACACCTATCTATTGAATAAGATCAGGACAGGGACATTTATTTAGAATAATAAAAAAAAAGGCTTTCTTTAATTCCAAACTGTAAAGAATCTGTAAAAATGAAACTGCAAAATCATATTGGACTAGCATATACTACTCTAGCAGCTGAATGTAAAATAGGAGCTTTTAATTTTATGTTTTAAGTTGAATACTGGCACCTTGGGTTATAAAAAGAGCTACTCCAGAAGTAAGTGGTGTGAAATGCCCTGTTCTAGAAAAACGTAGTCAGAATTGTTCATAGAAAGTTATTACATGAAATGGTAATGAATATGAATATGCTGTCTGATGTCTGACACATTGTTTTCAATAGTTTAGAGAAGATTTTTGGCCTAAAACCTATCCTTTTTTTAATCACATTCATGGTGGAGGGATACATGCAGTCTCCCGAGAAAACTTACCACTATTTTACCATCATCAACATTCCATGCAAAAACTCAGAAGACAAATGCAGGTTCGCTGGCAGTTTTGGATAGTAAAATAAAATGCCTATTTTGGAGATATGGTGACCTCTGGTTCCTATCACCACCACTGTAAACAATCTACACCGAACTATTTCTGATCACTCTGAATTATTAAATGCCGAATTTTTTTTAAAAATCAGTCCCTTAAAACTGCTTTACCTGAGCATAGATCTTCTTGTTGGCCTGTACTTGGGTGCTGGGGTCCATTGGCGATGCATAGTCTGAAGAGTTGAACAGCTCCATGTACATTCCAGAAGACTGTGTCGTGCTTTTCATTGGAGGGCTGTCTGTAACTGGAGAGAGTGGTAAAACAATGTCATTAAAAATGTGATATCGAACACTTAAAATCAAAAATCATGTTGTCTTTTCTTTCCCAGTGCTTCCGGAATATTTTCATATTCTGAAAAGTGATGAATTAACTTGATGCAAATGTGAACATCATTACATGAATTTAACATATTATATCAGCACAACTGTGTCTTATTTACACTTAGAAACATGGAATTTGGCCATACAATTATTTTTGAACTATGCAAATTCAATGTGTCACATTTTTTTCAGTCTACTGTTAAAGAGTGGCGATAGAAACTGCAGTGCTGGATCCTTAAATGAACTCAATATATTCCACAGTCCAGATATAAAGAACTTCCAACAGACCAGCTTGTATAACCTCTAGAAAAAAGCACTGACCAATAGAATGGGACACACATGAGCCTGAGGTCACCATGCCCAATGCTATGTGTGTTCTAGAGGGGTATAAAACACCCCAGCACTGGGCTGTGGAGCAGTGGAACTGCATTCTCTGGAGTGATGGAGCTCCATCCAATATCTTTGGGATGAATTGGAGTGATCCAGAACTGATCATCCAACATCAGTACCTGACCTCACTAATGCTCAATCAAATCCTCACAGCAATGTTCCGACATCTAGTAAAGCCTTGGCAGTAGAGTAGAGGCTGTTACTGCAGCCAAAGGGGGACAAACTCCCTATTAATACCCTTCGTTTCACTACCCTACCCTACGGACTTTTGGATGTATAGTGCCTCAGTGTCAATTTAGAGGAACTTGTTGAGGTCTATCACCTCACACAAAGCTATCACTTCTGTTTTAGCTTGCTGTATTTCAAAAGAGAAGGGAATCAATGGTGTATTACCTGCAGGGTGCTCTCTCAGGCCAATCTTCACTTTGATTGTTGGGCTGTTGAAGCGAATCTCTGTGTAGCTGCTGATGGATGTGCCATTGTAATAAGTGAATGCGTGTTGCTTGATCTCACTGGCATCGTCTGAGATGTTCCTCATTGGTCCTGCCTTCATATTGTTGATCAGTACAAGGTTGTTGGACTGGACAAAAGGAAATTTAGAAAACATAACTGTCATCAGTAACAGTAATAAGAGTAACGTAGTATATTGCTGTTGTCGGAACAAATCCTCCAAAATCTCCCACATGGTAACTTTACAGGAGAAGGAAAAAGTTACTTTACTTTTAATGTAAGTCAATGGAACCAGACATTTTTTCCATGTCATTTTGGGTCATTTCTTTTGGTCTATTTATCATGAAATTTGCACACAATGTAAAGGGAAAGAGTCATTTTCAAATTATGATAAAAAACTGAAAAATGACAAAAATGAAGATGCAAGGTTTTGTTCAGACAGCAGCGATACACATACATACATACATCATCTAAACTGCTTATCCTTCTGGGTCACGGTGGGGTGCTGGAGCCTATCCCAGCTGTCATTGGGCGGAAGGCAGGATACACCCTGGACAGGTCGCCAGTCCATCGCAGGGCAGAGAGCCATACACAGTCACACACTCATACCTAGGGGCAATTTTAGCACGTCCAATCAGCCTGACTGCATGTTTTTGGACTGTGGGAGGAAACATATATATATATATATATATATATATATATATATATATATATATATATACATATATATATTTTAATAAATGCCCAACATCCCCCCCAACACCACTTAATGTGAATGTCTGAGTTGGTAAAGTCTGTTCATCCATCCTTCCATAGTAGAGCCTCTACTATGTCATCCATTCTATCCATCCATCCATCAATTTATATCAGGGCCTTTACTCTTCCAGGCATCCATCCATCCATACATCCATCCAAAGTAGAACTCTACTCTACCATTCAGTGTCAGTTTAAGGCAGAGTGACCCAGCCATGAAAAGTCCTTCTTCACTCACCAGCAAAACGGCATCCTTCGCTGTGACTTGCCACGTGGTTCCAATGGGGCCCCTCAGAACCAGTTTAACTTTAGAAGGGTCAACATCCACTGTTACATTACTGAAAAACAAACCCAGTCGCCACAAAAGGTCCATTATACTGTGTGAACGTTTCATAGACTAACAGAAACTTTTGGTTGTTGAGGTGTCTGTGTAATGTTTTGTTACATGTGTTGACTGCTTTTCACTGATTTGGCCATTCTGACTGGAAATTAAATAAAAGAAGTGTTGTCCAGTATCAGTAATAACCTTGGGTGGTCTTCTACTGCTTAAATATGAGCATATATATATTCATATTTCTTAAACCCTTGCTGTGGTAAATATGTACTGAATGATCATAGTCATAAAGGGTCAGCTTTTTCTAGTTGACTCACCCAATGGTAACACTGTCGGGAATATTGATGATATGCAGCTCGTCCGGAGAACTGTCGAAAAAGCAAGATTGAACTGCATCCTTTTTAGATTCCACTTTGAAAACGGTCTTCTGCTTTAGGGATTCCAGATTTAGCTGGCAAGCAGGGGACACTGCCACCGCTGAAAAAGAGAGCGTGGGGTTTAGCTCATATTACAAACTTTGGGCCCAAATCATGGGAAATGTGAAATATAATTATCTATTTTTTTAAATACATTTCTAATTGTACTGTTCACTCCACTGTCTGTAAAGTCTACATATGGAAACAAAGCAGCCTGTTGCCAAAAAAAAAAACCAATACATATGCCCATTCAGCCTACAGCAGTTTGGCACGCCCATTCATGCTGAAGTTATATGAAGTGTTTCAACCCTGCTTTTTGATCGAGGCGCAACACAGTACAGACCAATCAGTACAGAGATCATTTGCATACATTAACCTTAAAGGGATAGTAACAAGAACAGCCTTTTTAAATGCTGAGGGATAAAGAGAGGTGGGAAATGTTGTACAATACAGGTGGGCCTTTACCTTTGTTTTTGGTCACTGTGAGGTTCACTGCATCTTGAAGTTTGGTGAATGATGTGACCCCTCCAAACGTTTGTATTGCCCAGTCGAGCAGTTCACTTCCCTTTAAATTTGGTGCTGTCTGCATAGTTACCCCAAAGAAGGTTATATGGGTCTCATTTGTCACCTGCAAATTAGATGAGGGTTTTTTTATATTAAAGACTTAAAAAAAATACAATAATAATAATAATAATAATAATAACAATAATAATAATAATAATAACAATAATAATAATAATAATGTGCTTAATAAGGGGTAAAATACAAAATAGATAACATATATAAAATCACAAGAATATTAAAGCAAATCTATCCATCCAACCATCTATCCATCTATTTATACATGTTTGGTCAGTCATCATGACCGAGCTGGTCAGCCATCATAATCAGCATGACCATCATGCTTGTTGACCAGTTTGATCATTCTCATGACCAGCTTGGTCATCCTTATTGACCTGCCTGGTTACTCTTGTTGACCAGCTTGGTCATGGAAATTATGCTGGTTAACCAATTTGGTCATGATGATCATGCTGGTTGACCAGCTTAGCGATGCTGATTAACCAGCTTGGTCATACTGGTCATTCTTGCTTATGCTGATAATGCAGGTTGACCAGCTAAACCTTCCTCATTGATCTGCTTGGTTACTCTTGTTGACCAACTTGGTCATGCTGGTTGACCATCTTGGTCATGGCCATTGACCTGCTCAGTCACGCTGATTATGCTGGTTAACCAATTTGGTCATGATGATCATGCTGGATGACCAGCTTGGTAATGCTGATTAACTAGTTTGGTCATGCTGGTCATGCTTGCTTACGCTGATCTTGCAGGTTGACCAGCTAAACCCTCCAACTCCAGTGAAAAAATACCCTATGATGATTTACAAGCTTAACAAACTTAGCGCACTGCTTTTTGCCTAGTCCAGCTAGATGTCCAGCTTGTCAACTATTGTGACCAGCTTAGACCATCTGAAACCAGCTTCCAGCAAAAGCTTTGGAATTTTCAGCAGGGATAAAAGGGCAAAAAAGGACAATTAAGTGGTAATCGTAATAAAAGTAAAAAACGGTTAATGTCTGGTCACTCTAATGATTCACATCCATTGTGATTGTTCTTGGAACATGCTGACCTCTGATGGTACATTCATGATTCTATTCATTCATGCTTCGAGGACTACATAATGACCAAACTTCCTCTGTGCTGCCCAGAAGGTGTCTCATTTACTGTAAAGAAAAAAAAAATCTTATATAAAGAGATTTGCCTCACATTTGCCCGCTGCACTGGCCAGCCCCTCTCTTTCATTTATTTCTGTCTCTGTCTGTCTGCGAATGTGGCCATTTGAAAATGAAAGTTTATTATGGTCCAGTGTCCACGCGCTGGTTGCCCAACCCCTCTGGTGCCGCGGTCTTTCCTTCACTTCCTGACTGGGGACGGGAAATGGGACCTTTTTAACTGCGTGCGTCAGTTCAAGCGGCTGGAATCTGACTCCATGCGGGGATAAATATATACATACACTGTCTACACTAGCCTGACCACCGCAGACAGAAAAATAGACAAGAGATAAAGAATTCCAGAGATTATGTCATGCTGCACTGAAGCTGAGTATAACCAGGAAAACCAATGGCAATGCAAAAAGCGGCTATTTCTGCTCCTTAATCCGCACTTCTCCTTTAATGAGGTGACTTCTCAGCCACTGCATTCATTCTGACATGAAGAATTTGGTCTTACAAAGCTGAAATTTTGTAGATTTTGAAGAAAACCTTGTATCTCCATTTTTGTCGTTTTTCAGTTTTTGACGTAATTTGAAAATGCCTGTTGCTCTTTATACTGTGTGTAAATTTCATGACAATTGGACCAAAAGAAACAGCCAAAAATTACTTGGAAAAAACTCTGGTTCCATTGACTTACATTAAAATTAAAGTAGGTTTTTTCTTCTCCTGTAAAGTTCCCATTTTGGAGATACGAGGTTTTCTTCCGACAACAGCGATATTTTTGTGTCACAAGCTGCTATTTTGAGAACACATGAATAGGAACATACTTCACCCTTCAGTGGCCTTTTAGACAATGAAGCTAAAGCTAACCCAACCTATGTAGCCTAGGATAGTTAGCTCAAACTAGCCATTCTCTAGCATTACCAGCATTACAACCTAGCTTTTTGCATACTGCCTGTTTGATTCCAAGCAGAGAGTTATAACAGGAAGACTGTATCGTACCAAACAGGTTGTTCACAGATGTGACCAGGTTGGTCATACACTGCCTCACTGGTCATCCAACTAAGAGTTACCAATAATAAGAACACTTAATAACACATGCAATTAGATGATATGTATGGAAAATGATCCAAAACGGTGGGCACGAGTAGGGCATCATGAGGGACTGGGATCGTTAGTTGGCTGATTTGCATACTATGACGTGTCATGGTACTTTGGTTACAAAGACACGTCATCCACGTCTATAGCAGAGTTGAACCAGAGGGGCGCTGCAAAAGCGGAACTGACAACGATAAAATGATATTTTTACAGTTTGGAAAGATGTGATCACATTTCAAGCATGTTTGGTGTATATTTCTTACGGAGCCATGCATTTCAGCTATTAATGAAAAAAAAAAATCTTAGGTTGTAGTTACTCTTCAAGAAAAACCCCACAGTTTGAGGCCCAGAGTTCTTCAATATGAGAATGTATGAGATTACAGAGAGGCTAAATTGCTTCAAAAATCACAATTCACTATTTGATTTTTCAAACTTTTTTGACTACTTGAAAAATCTAACTCAGCCCTAACATGGAGTAAGAAGTTCAACTTACAAATAAATACACTGGCAAGTGACATTATCTTAAATTTAGTCTATATATCATATATTTCTCATGTTGAGAAATGTTGCTGTAAGGTGGTTTTAAGATTTTGCTTAAGTCAATTATTTCACAATACTGGCAGATAATTTTGCATGTATGAAGTGAAGTTTTCTGCCAATACAGTCAGATAATAAAGGTTTTCACTGAGAGCGAAGTGGTCATCTTTGATTGATGTGTTCTTTTCATGTGGTATTTGGTGGATCGAGAAAGAAAGACAGGAAGGCGTGTGGACAAGCACTGACACAAATCACAATGAAACGCGAGTAGGGGGGTGCAGGGAGGAGTGAAGGGGGTGATGGAGGGATGGGGAGAACGGAGGAGCCTGTCTGACAGGCGTTTGTCTCTGCAGATATCAAAACGAACGGCAGGAAGCGTCCCGGCCCGAGGTGGCCCGATCCCAAACCCATTCCGATTAGACTTCCTTCCCTGCTGCGTGACTCAGTGAGGAGACGCTAGCCAACTTTAGCCTTTCAGCACAGCGCTGCCATTAACCTGGTCTAGACCTTTCAGCCCTAACATCTCCCAGACCAGCTGAAGACTCCATCATCCCTCTATTATCACCCTGCAAAGGGAAGAAACCTGATTAAAGTGACAGCACTGAGCAAAGGATGCTTAGACAGCGAAGCAAGCCCTGATTAAACGAAGGGTCAGGCTTCTTGGACCGCCACTCCAGTCGGCTGTCTGAACATCCTGCGTGCCCTGCATCCTGGAAGGCATAAAGCACAGGTCAAGCCCTCATTTTTTTTAAAAAAAGTCAATGGAAACTGACAATAAAAGCTGGGGACCAGCTCATTTTGATTTGTGGCCAAAGCAGCTTCCTAAAGCAGCTAGTTAGGCATTCTGGCCTAAAACTAGCATTTAATATGTTATTTGTTAGATTACGCAGTACAGCATCGTATCACTCAGCCTCAGATTTGAAGATTTTGTATCATTTTCAGGTTCTTGCCCATCAATGTTCTCTCAATACAGTACCCAGCATGCCTCACAACCACTGGGATTCCCTAGAAGCCACTGAGCTAGATGCTAATAAATGAGTCATTCTATGGAAGTGTCAATTTTTGTGCCCCTAGCGTTTATAGATATATTACACTTAAAAAACATGTTAGGGGTACAATTTATGAATATATTAAAATAAAACAATACGCTGGTTTAACAATTACACCTTCTTGAGCCATAGATTTAGCAATATTGGTTTTTAAATCAATTATATAGAATTCCAAGCACCACAGAATACTATAATCTATACATGACTATAAAATACATGAATTAAATGACATAAAGAAAACAAATGCCAGATAAATATTATAAAATATATAATGAAAGTTGTGTTCCCCAGGAGTCGTGTCACTGGCGTTACTGCATAACAAAAAATCTCTTATTTTGAAATAAAAGTCACACTGATGACATCACTTGACTTCCTTTTACCTATTTTCTGAGGATCGATGAAGAAAAGCACATGGTGAGTCCACTGTGTCTTTCAGTTATCAGAGATTTTCTCATTTAGCTCATGATTTCATATGAAGCTTTTAGTTGAAGTCACTGGTGTGACCGACTTTATTCTTAGATAACTGTGAAAACATAGAACACAAATGGATTAAATGTCGTATTTTGGTGGATTTTTCATGACTGACAACATGATTTGATGCTCTGTAGCAGTTATTTTGTAAAATGTATTTTTCATTAAAAATGTCTCTGGTGTTACTGTCTCTTATGTGTAACACCAATGATGATCAGTAACACCAGTGACTCCTATGGAGAGATAAAGAAGTGGACGTTTCTGTAAAATAACCCTAATAAACCTGCTCACTACACGCTCTTCTTCAAGGGTTCTTTAGTGAAGAAAATGGTTCTATATGACACGAACACTCAGTGAACCCTTTGCACGATTAAAGGGTTCTTTGCATCGTGAAAGTGTTCTTCACATTGATGGAGACTAGGCAGTAATGGGAACCTTTGTGAAAAGGGTTCTATATAGCAACAACTGCTGTTGCAAGCCAAAGAACCTATTTTTGGTATTAATAGAACCCTTTTTGCTAAAAGTGTAGCATTCGTTATACAGCACTAACCTTAATTGCTCATGATCTTTTCCTATTGTTAAAGCAATAATTCAGCCATAAATACATTCAAACACCCCAAACAGATCCACTCCAAACCACTCGTAGTCTTTCAAAACTGACTTCCACTTTCAGGATGCATCATCAGAAGGGGATTGTTCTACTCTTTAATTCAGGAAATCTCAGCCCAACGATTCTCAACCCCCCCAAACTTAGGGACCTAGTTTTACTGGAAACTGATAACTGATATTGCTGATAACTCATTAGATGGGCACAATATGCATATAGAAATCTGATATGTGGCAATAATGGATTTCAAATATATGACATATATTAGCACATATTGATTTCCCTTATGTCTGATTTGTATTAGTCGCATAAGGCCATATATGTGACATGTATGCCAATTTATTTGAAATTGGCCATTTTCAAATATCAAGCATATATTTAATCTATTCATTAACATATACAAACATATTTGTGTAACAATTAGAAAATATATTATAGAAAACATTCATATATGGATGGCATATATTACTCATGTATACTAGCTTCATGTTACATAATATAAGGTTATATATTGAATGTATGTTTCTGGTGCATTTCATTTTTGCGTTTAAAAATCTTTTGTTGTTTGTATCAGACATATACGTATGATCCATGTATCAGATGTACAGTATATATACACTCTTACTAAAAAGGGTTCCATATAGGACCAAAAAAAGAGTTCTTTGGCTTGTAATAATAGTGGATCCCATTTTTGGTGGAACCATATACAACACATTGGTTGGTACCATTAAGAATAAACAGGGGCTTCTATCCCATCAGTCAGGATGAGTCAAGGACACCCACTGGCTTTTTCTTCTCTATATTGAATGATATACTCTAGAACCTTTTCACCGTTTGGAAAAAATGCCCTTAAGCAACTAGCGATTCTTAAGGCTCTCAGTGTTGAAATATCTCTTGCTGTGTCAGTGTATGTTCCCTGCTGGGATGCTGTGAAAAGAGAGCGAACAGACATTCCATTTGGAGTGGACTCAGATGGAATCAAGCTGGTGTTCTGGCTTGCTTCGGATTGGATCTTGTCTGCAGTAACGGATGGCCAAGGCTTTGTATGAGGTTGCACAAGTTCAGGCTTGAAAGGTCATAACTCAGTGCAGTTTAGTGTTTACCCTGATTCTACACCTCAGACTGAACTCATCAAGCCCTTTATAACTGCACTGCCTGTTAAAGGTTCAGGGGCACCAAGCTTTTCAAAGGAACACCTGATATACATATATATACCGATCAGGCATAACATTATAACCACCTCCTTGTTTCTACGCTCATTGTCCATTTTATCAGCTCCACTTACTATATAGGTGCACTTTGTAGTTCTACAGTTACAGACTGTAGTCCATCTGTTTCTCTGCATACTTTGTTAGCCCCCTTTTACCCTGTTCTTCAGTGGTCAGGACCCCCATGGACCCTCACAGAGCAGGTACTATTTGGGTGGTGGGTCATTCTCAGCACTGCAGTAACACTGACGTGGTGGTGGTGTGTTAGTGTATGTTGCGCTGGTCTGAGTGGATCAGACACAGCAGTGCTGCTGGAGTTTTTAAACACCTCAGTGTCACTGCTGGACTGAAAATAGTCCACCAACCAAACCTATCCAGCCAACAGCATCCTTTGGGCAGCGTCCTGTGACCACTGATAAAGGACTAGAGGATGACCGACACAAACTGTGCAGCAACAGATGAGCTATCGTCTCTGACTTTACATCTACAAGGTGGACTAACAAGGTAGGAGTGTCTAATAGAGTGGACAGTGAGTGGACACAGTGTTTAAAAACTCCAGCAGCACTGCTGTGTCTGATCCAAAGTGCACCTATATAGTAAGTGGAGCTGATAAAATGGACAATGAGTGTAGGAACAAGGAGGTGGTCCTAATGTTATGCCTGATTGGTGCATATAAATATAATGTTATATTTAAAGCTAAACTATGTGTTCAAATAGTGGTGTTTCAAAGGTTCTTTGGTAAAGAAAACAGTTCTATATAGGATCATGAACACTCAAACAACTCTTTACATGATAAAAGGGTTCTTTGCATCATGAAGGAGTTCTTTGGACTGATGCAAAATGCACATGATTGTGCTATAGATGGTTCTATATAGAACCACCTCCAAAAAGGTTCTATATAGAACCATCTATGACACATTCTCCATCAAGCTGAACAACCCTTTTATGATGCAAAGGGTTTTTGAGTGTTTATGGCTCAATATAGAACCCTTTACTTTACTAAAGAACCCTTGAAGCATTATGTTTATAAGAGTGTACATTTAGGTTAAATGGGGAAACTGCAAATGAGATTTTTTGCTAAACTACTCGATTGACTTAATTCCTAAGACAAAACTTTGCCACTAACATCAGACATGTGTTATTGTTTTACGTGTTATTGTTTTGGGTGGTTGTTTACTTCCCAGCATTCTCACATATGGGTATTCGCCACCATTTAAATATGTTCACCCTCGTAATGCTCGCTGGGGCCTGAGGCCGTACAAACAAGGTTAATTGGTTCTCCAAACAGGCCCCAGGGGTTGCACAGCTGGAGTGGGGTAAGATTTGTCAAACAGCTGGCAGCAGCTCACATCTGGACACTTGTCTCTGTCTTCCCAAAAAAAGTACAGATCAAGCCTGTCCCTGCGTCAGTCACTGGAACAGCAAAGCATGTGAATGCAGTTCTCTGGTCATCTTCCCTGATTGAGCTGTTTATGCTCCACTCATGAATCCATTCTTTCACAGCAACTGCTGAACAGGTTTTACAGACTGTTCACGTAAACCCCATTCAGTTTACACTCTAATAAAGCTGGTTCTCTGAGTGAAGGTATAGAACAGAAGCTCTCAAACTTGTCCCCAATGTAAAAATGTATACTGGCTGGAGGTCCCTGAGAACCACTGCCATAGAACAACCACTTTTAAGCCACTTTGGCTCCTACAGCCCTGTTTGAAAAAGAGATTTGTGAGTGTGAAGAACCCTTGAATGGTTGAAACCAAGTTTTCCTTGAACACGGGTGGCAACATGCGGCTCTGGAGCCACTTGCGGCTTTTTTACTGCCATGTTGCGGCTCCATGGCAGAAACAGATATTTAGGTAAAAATAAAATTATCCTCCTTTGCAGTGAAATAAAGCTCTGCTGATCATTCAAACAAAGTTTTAACAATAAATGGTCTTAAACGCTGGCGTTAATGTAGAACTGCTAATTCACCCTTTAACCCTGAAGATTGGCGCGCGGACTGCTGGTCACCATAGCAACACAGACAACGATGTCTCACCTAGCTAGTAGCTAACTGAAAGGCAAAGAGAAATATTTAAAATGAACATTGAAACTTTGGAGACGAATGGACTTATTTGCGTTTATAATCACTCCAGCTGGTTTCTTGAAACGTTTAATCTGCAACAAGAAACTGTCAAACACTAAAAAGTCGTGAGGCTGATGTCAGTTTCTCATTCGCCAGCTTTTGGTTTGAATTTTGCCGTTCCACCTTAAATGGTGAGGTGCCAGAATGTAACTGCTGCACCATTTAAGGTAATTCAAACAAGAAGCTGGCGAATGAGAATCTGACTTCAGTCTTGTAAAAAGTTGAACGTTGAGAGACATTTTACAAGAAAATATTCTACTTTTGAGGAAAAGTTTCCCGCCGGAGATGCGAGAAAATATAGCTGAGAAAATTTAGCTCGGCTATAGCTGAGCTAAAGCTTAAAGCAGAGCAAAGTAAGTTTGCATATTCATTTATATTATTTTTTTAGCCTATACTTGTATATCAGCACATACTGAGACATATTTACAGCAAGGATGGTAAACTGTAATGGGCATAAAATGTTGTGGCTCTCAAGGTGGATTGATTTTGTTGAAAGGACAAAATGGCTCTTTTTAACGTTTGAGTTGCCCACCCCTGCCCCAGAACCTTTACATTATGTGGAGGTTCTTTACTCTTGAAAAAGTTTCTTTATATTTATACATCTCATTTACAAAAAACAGGCTCCTCAAACCCGTCCTCATGGTGGGTTATGAGCCGGGTTGGAGCAAGAATGTGGACCATCTAGGTGCCCCTGAGGTGTGGTTTGAGAACCACTGTTCTAAACAACCATCCACTGAATGGTGTTTTTCTTTTGTCTTTCTTTTTTGGTGGATATAGTGAAAGTGTTTGATACTTACATAAATGTTTAGATCGTGTGCTGGTTGCTTGACGTTTGCGTAGATATTCGGTGACACTGTGCTGGTGAAGATCAAGATGGCTGGAACTTCTGAAACTATACTCATTATTATGTGTCCATCAGTCTGTAAAAAAAAGAAAGTACATGTTAGCATATAATCTTTTAAAGTCGGGGTTCCTTCCAGGTAGCAGAGGAAAAAATGCACTTTTTTTCTCTTTCTCATTTTCTGGCAGTTGTAAGTGTATATAGACCTACTATCTCAAAATAATGACTTATTATCTCAAAATAATGATTGAGACATTTAGTACAACAATTTAGTTTTAGTTATTTAGTTGTAATTTTGTAAAATTTCATTATTTCAAGAAAATAAGTCTTTGCATCACAATGCAAAGTGAAAGATCTGAGAAGTCTTTATTTTGAGACAGTAAGCCAAATTTTTGAGAAAATAAGTTATAAATATATATAATATAAATTATATATAATATATAATAATATAATATATATATATAAATTATATATAATATATAATAATATAATATATATATATAATATAAATTATTTTAAGATAATAATTCTAACTTTTAAGAGAATCGGCCTTTATTTTGAGATATTAAGTCAAAGTTTTAGATACAGCTGCCAGAAAAAGAGACCACAGGCTTTGGTTTTTGGGCTTCCATAAAAATGATGTTGAAAGTTTGCTTCTTAATTCTGCAGTAGAGTTCTGAGGCTAACAAGTAATGGAAGCTTATAGCCAATAAAAAGGCAAAAATGTACAGTTTTACCCTTTATAGGGTAGGAAATTTTACTTTAGTCATTAGCAAATTTTGTCTACACGTTTATAGACAACTGTCCCATCAATGTATGTCATGAAAAAAGTACTGAAAGTGGTCCATGATGCACCTATATATGTTAAATGTTACAGAATTTACCATTTAACACATTTTACACTGTGTTAAAATTTCGTGGTTGATAAGTAGAAATACTCCAAAATGACTTGCTCCATTAACGTCCATTCTAAGGTTACCGTTTCAGACATATGACATTTTGCAGCATCATATATCGACAGTAGTGTTGTTGTCAGAACTGCTAGAGCCGAGTCCATGTGAAGGCCGAGACTTAGTAGTTGAAGCAGAGTCAAGATTGGATTAAGATTTTTTAATAAAAATAAGCGCACGTATGTATGTATCACTGTTGTCGGAACAAAAACTCATATCTCCAAAATGGTAACTTTACAGGAGAGGGAAAAAACATATTTTACTTTTAATGTAAGTCAATGGAACCAAAATTTTTTACAAGTAATTTTAGGCCATTTGTTTTGGTCCATTCGTCATGACATTTACACAGAATGTAAAGGGCAACAGGCATTTTCAAATTATGTCAAAAACTGACAAATGACAAAATACGAGGTTTTCTTCCATCAACAGATATATAGAGATATATACAGATATGTATATATATATATATATATATATATAGAGAGAGAGAGAGAGAGAGAGAGAGAGAGCTCTTGAGGTCATTTGTGTGAGTCACGAGTTGCAAAAGTTTGGAAACCCCAGATACAGAGAAAGGACTGTTTTATTTTGTGTATTCTGATCTTATTGATAATTAATAACGACTCAGTTTCCAGTTACCTCAGATGGAGATATTGCACTCGGCTGGTCTCGAGAACCTTACCCAAGGCCGAGACCGCTAGATTGTGGTCTTTAGACCGGTCTTGAGATCGTGACCGGACTCTAGAATTACAACACTAATATATAGCCTAAACCTTGAAGCCTAGGGCAATACTAATACAATCTCAAAGACAACTGCAGTATTCAAATCATGTATTGATGCAGAACCCAAATAACTGTCCCATAAACAAATGAATGAGCAGTGCGGACAGTAGTTAAAACTGAGGCCAGCAAAGCAGGACAGCTTTGTTTTTATTTCTCATGGATCACACAATGAAATGCAACAACCCGACTGAGAAAACAAAGGAGTCCGAGAGATGTGCCGGACTGTTGTGGAGCAGATAAACATCAGAACAGGCCTTTTGCATTATGTTTACATCTCAGCCCAGGCAGCAGCAGAGCATTTGCCGCAGTAACCAGCTGAAGTCTGAGGCCAGCCGGCAAAAAAATTCCCACAGGCCCTTTTCCTGCGATTAGGAAGAAAAGAAAATCAGCCACCATAAACAGTCAGGGTCCTCCTGCGACCGTGTTGTTGTTTTGCAGGCTAGCCGGGCAGACTGGCAGACGCGCTGTAGCGTGCAGCAAACTTAATCTCCACACACACGCGGACTAAGCCGCTCCGCTTCACTCCGGCTTTACCGTGCGGTACGTCTTACCTCAGACGGAGCCGCACTAAAAAGCATGCTGTCGCTTCAGCATGTGCAGCATTTCCCATTAGCAGCACAGTGGGTGGCCAGCAAGACCTCCATGCTAATGTGCTTCTGCCAGGGAGGTACACAGCAAACGCACCAAGGTTAAGAGTCCATACGGGACTGAAAGTTCCCCTGAAGGTGTCATTTAAACCCTTTAAACAATCTACACTGAATAACAAATTGCTTTTTATACCCAAGAAACCACTAAAAATGGCATCTCCACACCTTCAGCCACATGTAGATTGCTGAAATCTATGAATATGCATGATTATGCAAATTAGACATGTCCCGTCGTCCTTCTACCCTGGTTACGCTGTGCTATAGCGCACTAAGCCAATTATTACCACAAAATGTACAAAATGATCACGCTATGAACACAAGACCACACAACTAGTGCTAAAATACGTCCTTACTTATTTTCTCAGTGCAGTTGTTATTGTCAAAATGTGCCAAATGCAGATGAAGAATCTGACAGCTGGACACAGTTATCTGCTGGCTCTCTTTAGAATCAATTATTAGCTGCTTTCACTAGAGTAGACTGACCTGGCCAGAGGTAGCCCTGTTCTGTTCAGCTTTCTACAGGCAACGTTGTAATTTGTACCTATTAGTAAATTGCAAATATATTATTTGAGTTTCTGCTATGAATTATTCAGCAACTATTCAAGTTATTCAATGTCTGTAAGGAATTATTAAGTATTTACTATGAATTATTCATTATGTACTATGAAATTATTCAGCATCTATTACGAATTATTCATTATCTATTAAAATTATTCAGAATCTTCTAGAAATTATTTATTATCCACTATAAGTTATTCAGCATCATCTATGAGTTATTAAGTACCTACTATAAATGATTTAGCATCTACGATGAATTATTCATTATCCACTATAAATTATTCGGTATCTACTATAAATTATTCATAAATTATTCATTATCTGCTATAAATTATTCAGTAACTACAACAATATATTCAGTAACCACCAAGAAGTATTCAGTATCTTGTATGAATTATTCAATATCCACTATGAATTATTCAGTAACTACTACGCATTATCCAGTATCTGCTATAAATTATCCAGCTTGACTATAAATTATTCAATATCCTCTATAAATAATTCAGTATCTGCTGTGAGTTGTTCAGTAACTATTCGAGTTACTGTGTATATTCTGTGAATTATGCAATATCTACTATAAATTATTCAGCATCTACTATGAATTATTTAGCATCTACTATGAATTATTTAGCACCTATTATAAATTATTCAGCATTTACTGTGAATCTACTATAATCTACTTTGAATTGGATAATGTGCATGAATGTGCTATAGACGGTTCCGTATAGAACCTTTCTGAAAAGAGTTCTATATAGCACCCAAAGGCGTTCTTCTGTTGTTACAAGCTTGACAATGTAACAGTAGAGAACCCTTTTGGTTGCTATAGAGGACCATCCACAGCACATTCTCCCTTTCATGATCCAAAGAACCCTTTAATCATGCAAAAGTTTCTTTGTGTGTTCATGGTTCTACATTGTAACAATAGCAGAGCCCTTTCTGGTGCTATATAGAATCAACGCACTCTCCATCAGTCTAAATATATTTCACCATAAAAGAACCTTTTATTCATGTTAAAGGTTCTGAGTATTCATGGTTCTAAACAGAAACATTTTCTTTCTTTACATTACCTTTGAAGAACCTTTTTAGAGTGTAGGTGAGGAGTGGTCGACCACCTCTGAGATTACACAAACTGGCCACTTTATCAGAAACCCCTTGGTTGTAGCTGGAGGTTTCTGATAAAGTGGCCAGTTTGTGTAATCTCAGATTCATTCATAAGTGCTGCAGTGCTGTGAGGACACTGCTAATGGTCCCCACACTACAGTGCAATCCGAAAGAACAGGAGAGTGGCTCTAATGGCAAAATGCCACCGAGGAGTCATTTACAGAGCTCCACTGTCCCTCTGGAAGCAGCTTCCACAGGAAAGCCAGGAGGCAGCTAGTTAGAATGTCACATCAACCTTCAACCACCATCACCATCATCGCTCAGGTGTGATTGTTCACACTGCTCCCATCGCCTCTGGACGTAATCTTAGGAGTTTAGCTTTAGAAGTAAAACATGCTGCACTTTTATATGAATTCCGCTAAATCGTAGCTCATTGAAACGACCAGAGAAACTGAAAATGTGCACATTCTACAGTTTCCATTAACCTCTTATTCTCCAGGGTATATTTTGGTTTTTCCATCTGAATTTACATATAAGGCAAATTATTCAGTAACTGCATGAAATAAAGGTACATTTTTATTTTATTTATTTATTTTTTTGTAAAAGCTCCCCTCAAATGTGTTTTATGATCACACATGTTGCTATATGCTTACAATTTACTGCTGAAAGCCAAAAATCTTAGATGCTCTTTGTATTATTTTATAAAAAATAATACAATACAGTAGATCACTGAAGAGACGCCATCTGTTTATAGTTTATAGCCCAGATTTGTGGAAAAATGGGTCATCTTCTGCTTCTTTTCAGCTTCTTCTATTATAAGGGTTTAAAATTACATTACCCATCTATTTGACTGGAAAGAAGACAGTTACAGCTCTCATACGACCCCCACCTTTTGAATGTAGCTTATGAAATATGAAAGTTATGAAGAATATGACGAAGTGCGTTTTGGAACCACCGGTGGTCTCAAGGAGTTGTATTAAAATCAGATTTGTGTCTGTAAGTAAAAGAGGAGATATTTGGCCATGTTTTCCATCCTTTTGTCA